ACTTTTAGTATATAATCTATTATGTAAATTATGAATCCCTTTTGCAATTCTATACAAAAAAATAATTTGTTTGCTTTATATATTTTGTAAAATATTATCATGGTTATTAAAAAATAAGAATAAAAATAATTTTAATATTATTAAAGATATTTATTTTTTTATTATCAATATTAAAATTCATCATAAATAAATTATTAGTTTTTTATTGTAAATAATTACAAAATTTATAAGAACTAAAACTAAAATAAAAATCACAATCATATTAGGTAAAGACTTATTTGATAAATAAAAGTATCTAACCACTTATAATCCTAATAAAATTACAAAAATCTGTTTTCTAGTCTTTTGTGCACTCCCGGTTATAACTTATTAAATTAAAATATTTTTAATAAAACTTCTCCTTCGTATTATATTTTTATTGTGCAAGTTCTAACTAATAATATGGTTTTTACTAAATTAATAAGTTAGAAAAAATTAAAAATTAAAATATTTTGATATTTTAAATGTCAAAATTTTTTACAAAATTATTTAAATATTTTTAATAATATATATTAATTACAAATATTTTAATTTTTTATTATCATTATTAATATTTTAAATACTAAAATGTTTTAATTTTCTTTAATCGAATAAACAAAAATTAAAAAAAAATGGGGGACATGATGCTTTCCAGAAAAGCAATAGGTGAAATGGAAAAAAACACGGTTTGATGTTTTTCCAGGAAGAATCGTCCAACTCGTCTTGCCGTCTTTTTTGACTTTTTAAATTCTCAGTCTCTCTCTCACTTTTTTAATTTTTAATTTTTTTAATATTCATATCATTTTGTAGGTCCATCAATATTTCTTTAACAACGAAATCATTAGGGATTAAAGTTCTGTATTTTCCCTGAACTTTCAAAATTTATAAAAAATTGTCCCTTAAGCTTTTAAATTTTTTTTTTTTATCTTTTAACTCTCTAATTTTGTATGGAAAGCCTTTAAATCTACTGATTAAAATTTTAAATTTAAAAGATTTTCTCATCCATTGGTAACAATTCAAATCTACATAACTCTTTCTTTACCCCTTTATTATGCAGGTTGAATAATTTGTTCTATGCTCCAAAAAACTTTCTAATTTGGTTTTAAAGTGGCTTATTCATTAATTATTTGAAAAGTTAAACAAACCATTTTAGAACTGAATATTAAAGTTAATCTAGTAATTTCAAACTTGGTGTCTTATATATTGTATCCATTGCATATGCTCTCAGTCTCGCCAAATTGTTTCCACTGCATGACCAAGACAATCAGATTTCCACTGCTTAGATCCTTCTCTTCTGCAAACTATCATCATCCTTATTGCTGTGTATCTCCCTTTCTCTCCCTAGGCCAAATTGAGGTATATATATACTTCTGACCTCCCTTAATTTTTTTTCTTTTTCTTTTTTTTGTTTAAAAATTAAATTTCAAATTTTCATGGTTCTATTAACAAATAATTATAATCTTCTCCGTTGACTAATCAATCTGATCAGATTTTGCAGAATCAAAGGCTCAACTGAAAGGGCCTTATCCTCTCTACAGCTTTTGTAACTCTCCTCCCCTCTTTGCCTCAGCTTGAAGCATTGAAAAGAAACTAAAGCTTATATATTTTGGAAGGTAGGCATAGATCTCTCTAACATCTTGATGTTGGATTTTGTCAATCTATCTGCTAATTAATTTCTTTGTAAATATTAATTAATTTTGAATAAGTGTTTGCTTCTTCCAACTCCTAATTAATTAATGAAAATTTTCTTTTTGTTCAAAGGTCTTTCTAACCAAATTAATGATATATTAATTGTAAATTTTCTCTATTAATTTAAAAAATAAAAAAAATAAATTTTATTTTTAACACTTACGGTGCATGGATTGAGTTTCTTCCTTCTCTTTCCCTAGAGTAAAGGCAAATTAAGGTAGATATATTTCTAATCTTTCTTGAGAGTTTCTTGTTTTTGTTATATTTTAAATTTCAACTTTTCATGGTTTTAATAACAAATAATAATAATATTCTCCCTTCTTTGATCAATCCAATCATATTTTGCAGAGTCGAAGCTAAACTGAAACAATCTCCTCTCCTCTTTACAAAATCTGTGACTCTCCTTTGCTCTTCCCCTCTGATCAGCTTGAAGCAGGATTAAGGAAATTAAGCTCAACTTTGGTGAAGGTATGCTAAACATCTCTATAATATCTTCATGTTAGTTTTTGTTAATAGATCTATTTAATTAATTTCTTGGTAAATACAGAAAACGGAAAGCCAGGACTGCCGGGTAGTCCTGGTT